AGGTTTTAATCCCCTTAAGCAGACTGTGTTGCTTTTACTAAGCTATCAAGAGTTGAGGGGGAAAATGCTATAATTATTTTCATTAGATTTAGACTCTCCTAACTGACTGGTTTTACACCACTTTCCTCAAAGTTCCCTGTGCAAGTTTATAGCACTAAAAACTGCTGTGTGGAGGTGTTAGCATTTATGCCCCATCTCACCTCACCATCACTAAGTGCAGTGACTTCCATTCCCACAGTTTAGAAGCTGCCTCTTTTTGTATCTGTTTTGTGTTTACAGCTGGTAAAAAAGGGAAGTTTGTATTTATGAAATAAATAATCTCTGAACATCTGTTGTGGGATAGGCACCACACAAAATTGTGGGGACTCAGAAACGAATCAGTTATGGCCATAGTCTCAAGGGGTTTCCCATCTAGGGAGCAAGTTAGACAGACAAATAGAACAAGACTTTATGGAGTGAGGAGGTGGGTGAGGAGGTAGGACTGGGGTGTAGGAGAGTCTCCATAGAGAAGGTTAGATGTGAGTTGGATCTGAAATGTAGATGGTGATTCATTCAGCAGACAAGAAGAGAAGGATAATTAAGATGTACGAAGGCTCAGAGACATGGAAAACATGGTGAGTTTGAAGAAGTACAAATGGTTTTGAAATGGTTGGAAAGCAGGCAAAGTTGGTCTTCAAGCATACCAGCTAAGTGTTAACGCTGAGCACAGAGTATGGGTGAGGAGATGTGACTGTAAAAATAAATTAGGGTTAGATCACAAAGGGTTTTGAATGCCATGACAAGGATCTGTGTGTGTGTGTGTGTGTGTGTGTGTGTGTACACATGTGCACATGTGTAAGGGGAGGGTGGATATTTTCACTGAAGAATTTTAAATAAATGAGTAAAAACTATGTTCCATCAAGAGCTTTTCCACCAATCCTGGCCAATCTATTCTACCTAATGTACTATTTTTCTTCTTTAAGCACATTGTCCTGGAATGTCCTTGCTGGAAGCCATCTTGTTTAATTTAATACACTCCTCCTTGTTATTTTAACCTAAGCCCAGGTAACCAAGGCCAAGATTTTAATTGTCTCCAGCACTAGATAGTATAGGGCTGGTGGTTATTTTAAAAGGTCCTAGAGACTGAGATGAGAAAACTGATGGAGTTTGGGCCTCGGAATGTTTCCAATCTTTCTGCTTCCAGCTCAGCATTTCTGGAGCACTTCACAGCAGGCTTTGTAAAGATTTAGTTGAAAATCAACTTATGGATTCCTCCGTAATTGGCTTGGCCAGGTTTAATCTGTTGTTGGTCAAGCCAAGCTGGCTTCTATTATGTAGTGCACTGAGGTTCCTGGCGTTGTTCTTCTCCCAGTGGAGGCTGGCTGTTTTTAGAAGCAAATCTTGGTGTTGGTGAAGGCCGGTATCATCGTGTCCTCTGAAGTGAACCCAGAAGGACACCCATCTGATACGGCAGTTAGGCCTTTGACTAAAAAGAAAGTCTTGGATTTGGAATTTGTATGCTAGAAGGCTATAGTTTGATATATTTTTTTCTCCCCAAGATAAACCAAAGCTTCCTATTTGTTTCTGCCTCTTTGGGTTGATTCCTAGATATGTGTAGTATGCCCCATCCAAGCAGGCAGCACCTGCAGAAATGGAGCATCTACAGAGAGTGGCTCCTCTCAGCCTAAGTACCCCAGGTAACACTGGCCTGTGCTGAGCCCAACCCCTTGAGGCTATCCAGTGCCGGACACACAGGCTTACATGGCAAGGAGAAAGACAAGAACCATATCATGGACTTGAGGTAATTCATGGGCACTGATAGCACTGAGCTGCCACTGGCAGTCCTTTGTGCCAACAGAAGAGAAATCGAAGGGAGCCTGTGTGTCTGGAGAGCTTATGAAGGTAAGAAAGCAAACTGTCAGGGCAACCCCTGGGAGAGGTCTCATATCTGCCTCTGGAGATGACATGAAGGAAAGGAGAGTAAGTAGAGAGTCCTGTTTTCCTATAGCCAGAAGACACTGGATGTGTAGTGCCCCTGCTAGGAGTATGGTGAGGGCAGGCTGTCTACATTTATAGTCACTCAGAAGTAACCTGCCCCTTCCTTTTCCTGTCAGTCTCCTTGCCTGGCCCTTGTTGGGGCTTTGGAGAGTTTACACAGTTCTGTGAGAGGAAGTCACTTACAAGACGAAGAACATTTGCCCTGTAGAACTGAGCTCATTAGAATCAAGAAGACCAATTTAGAAGTCCATAAATAAAGACAGGTTCATATATATGCACTTAAATACAGACATGCATTTTACAGGTTTTAGAAAACTAGTCTAACATCTGTTTTGCTTTCCTTGTTAATTCCACTCTCTCTGCCCCCCCCCCACCCCCAACTCTAAAGTGAATTCCTCAGCAAAGCCTGATTTAAAAGATGCCATAGACCCTGCATTTTGAACTGGCTCCCAGAGCTTGTTTTTGAAGATTTCTCTTTCCCTCCCCACCACCCCAACCCCTTTGGCCAGCCAGCTTGGCAGTCATCCTTCCAAGGGCCCAACCTTAACAAATCCGAGCCTTCTGCTGCATCTTGCCACCAACTGGCACCTGCCGGTCTCCCAGGGCCAGCTGAGAATCCACTGGGCATCAAGGGCCATGGAAGTGACAGACTTGTATCAGCAAGAGCAATAAACCACAACTGTGGGTCCGATCAGGCTGCCAAATCAAAAGCAGTTGTGCTGGGTGAAGTTCCACGCATGTTCTCTTTCTCGAAACTTCGACCGAGTTTAGGCATATCCCTCTGTGAACATTTATTTTTTTCTTTTTTTATTATTTTTTTTAGTTTGGATCCTGTTTTTAATTCTTTATTTGGATAGTCTAGAATCTTGAAGCTTCTCTGAGAGAATGAGAACCACAGCATCGTTACAAATCAGACCTGAAAGGAATTTAAGCCAGTCTCTTCGGAATTTATCAATGGAGATACTGAAGTCCATTGAAACAGAGTAAATTGCCCAGAGACATACGGCTAGTGAGAAACATATCCAGGGCTAGAGGTTAGGCCTCCTGACTCTCAGTGCTTAAATTTGTGTCTGTCTAGGGGCACCTGGGTGGTTCAGTCGGTTAAGCGTCCTACTTAAGCTCAGGTCATGATCTCCAGTTCGTGGGTTCGAGCCCTGTTCCACGATCTGCGCTGACAGCTCAGAGCCTGGAGCCTGCTTCAGATTCTGTTTCCCTCTCTCTCTTTTGGCTCCTTGCCTGCTTGTGTTCTCTCTCTATCAAGAATAAATAAATAAACATTTTTAAAAAAAAGTTTGTGTCTGTTTAACATGTAAGTGTGCAATATACATGGCAGCCATCTGTAAGTATTGATATTTATTCCAACAAGAGTAAACACATAACAGGTAATATTACTGAACAATTATTAGGTGCCAGACATTGTTCTAAGCGCTTTATTTGTACAGTATCATTTACCTTTGTGACAACCTAGGTGGGTATTATCATCCTCAATTTATAGTTGAAGTTACTAAGACACAGAAAAGTAAATAACTTGCCCTTGGTATGTACGGGTGTCCTATTAGACTGGTTTTCCTGGGGCTCAGGACTGTGGGTGCTGAGCCCCTAGGGTTGGACGGAGCCCTTGCCTGTCTAGTGGGAAAGGAAGACATGTGAGTAGATCAATCACAACAGTACATGACAATGGCCGTAACAGAGGCAGGCACAAAGGTGGTGGTGCGAGGATAGAGCAGGAGGAGCAGGCTTCTCCAAAGAGATGGTATTTGAACTGTCTCGAGGGTGCATGGACATTGCTAGCTGGTGAACGAGTGCTTGTCCACAAGTGTATAGGAGCACCTGACAGGATCAGAGAGGATCCGGAGGGGCAGAAGCTCAGTGCCAGAAGCCACAGGCATGATGGCTGGGGGGAGATGTTGAGAGACAGGGCTGGAGGGTGGTCGGGAGCAGATTATAAGGTACCTGCATCCCAACATGAGTAATTTGGCCTATACCCAGTGAACACAAGGGAGCCAGCAGACATTTTCGGGAGGAGGTAAGTGACAGGATCAGACTGCTGGAGGTTCTGGGAAGGCTGGTGACAAGGGAAGCAGTTAGGAGGCTCTTGAAATTGTCCAGGTGGAAGGGATGAGGAGCTGGGCTCCACATGGCCATCTGATTGGCACAAGCTGCCTCCTTTCCTTTGCTCACACTGCTTCCATGGCTTGGGATGCTCTCTTTAATCCAGGCCCACCTTTCAGGACTAAGCTTAGGTGTTTGATATGGAGGCTCTCTTGGCACACATAAAATCTTGCAGCACATCTTTGTGTACATTTCTCTCTTCTGCTTTAACACCCAGCTCCCTGAAAGTAGGACCAGACCTTCGCCTCCTTAAATACTGGGCAAGGTGCCTGACCCTCAGTGAGCTCTCAATAAATGTGTGATGAATGAATAAACTTTCTAAATAAAGGCAGGGACTATGGGTATGGAAAGAAGAGGCCAAATTTGGGAGGTGATTTTTTTTATGTTACATCAGGGGATGGCAAACTATGTCCCATGGGCCAAATCCAGCTCAGTTTACGTACTGCCTTTGTAAATAAAGTTTTATTGGAAGCCCATTTGTCTACGTTTTGTCTCTAGCTGCTTTCACTCTACAATGGCAGAGTTAAGTCATTGTGACAAGACTATGTAGCCTACAAATACAAAAATATTTACTCTCTGGACGCTTGCTGAGAAAGGTGGTCAACCTGTGAGTTAGAGGATCAGGATTAGTGACTGGACATAGAGTGATGGAAAGGAGAGATTCCTTTTCTCACGTCTTCTCACTGTGCCTAATGCAGAGCTTTGCTCCTGGGTGACAGCCTTGGCTGGTGGGCCTGCAGATACTGAGAGAGAAACACCCATGACTGTGGGCAGGAGAAAAAGGGAGCCTGGGAGATCAAGGTGGGAAAGAGACCCCATAAGAAAAAGCCAAGGGACCATAGCTGCAAGGCAAAATTTATGTAGCTCTTACTTCTTCCCAGCGATGCTTCTCCTCCTCTTCTCTCTCGTAGTCATCCAGTTTGGCTTTGTCACCCTCTTTGTGGCCTCCTTCCCTCTGGCACCTGTGTTTGCCCTTCTCAACAATGTCATTGAAGTGCGGCTTGATGCAAAGAAGTTTGTGACTGAGCTGAGACGGCCAGATGCCGTGAGAACCAAAGATATTGGTATGTCCCCTGCTTAGAGACCATGGCAGGCCCTCTGCCTCTGTCTGTCCCCTCAGTCTCCCTGCCATGACCTGCCACCACCATCACACCACGTCTGGAATCAAGAGGGCTGGGGGAAGCCCTTGGAGGTCCTCATCCTCATATCTTCAGGCTCTGGGAGACCTTTATCCACCCCTACTTGTCCCCCTGCTTTCCAGACGGTGGAGGGGGACACCTAAGGCTTTGTAGGCAAGCCCATTTCTGGGGGACCTGGCAAACCTCCACTGGTAATGTGCCTGTGGAGCATCACCCTGAGCTGCAGCCTTGTTGTCACCGGGCCAAGGGTGGGAATGAGCCAGATGCCCTTCTTTCTGTCTTACAGGGATTTGGTTTGACATTCTCTCCGGGATCGGCAAGTTCTCTGTTATCAGCAACGTAAGTGTTAAATTCGTGACACCCTGGCCCTGTGGTAAGGGCTTTCCACAGGACCTGAGGTCTTCAGAGCAGGATACCAGCCCTCGTTACCTCCCAGCCTTTTCCTTCTGGAGCTTTGTTAAAGGCAGCCCCCTGGTTAGTAGTGCATACGTGGTGCCATTGGCCAGAGCCGCGCTACTATATCGTTAATTTCACAGAGAGAAAGGAAGGTAATTACCCACCAGAGTGCATACCGTGGCCTTAAGAGTCAAAATCTGATCTTTCCTCGGAGCCAAGAATAATGAGGAAAGAATTCCGCATATCTATCCATCTCTTTCCTTTCTTTTTCTCCTCCTGAGCTAAACAATACCTGGAGCATTGCCCGGGCGGCGGTTCCTAATTACGGTTCCTCCAAGCTGTCAATGTGAAGTCCTAATTATTCCCATGGACTCTGGCACCGCGTAGGTTAAGATAGGACATGCAAGAAGAGGGGTCCTACCTGTTGTGACCTCTTTAACTGCCTTGCCAGACATGTCCACATTTCAGAGGAAATCCTGATGGGCCCAAGCCAATAGCAACTTCTGCTTCTGCCTTTTGTATGGATGGTGGCTAGGCAGGGCCTCCTGTCCTACCTCCCAAGAAAAGACCCCCAGCTTGGCACCTCCCAAGAAAGCCACCACCCATTTTCTCCTGGGAGAGAAACATTGATTCTGTACTTGGTTGCCTATTAAGAACACATAAAAGGCCTGGAGAGGCAGGAGGAAAGGCAGAGAGTCGGCCCACTGCACTGTGAATGTTCAATGTAGGAAGCGCATATCTTGTGGCTGAGAAATGAGGTGCAATTTGAAAACAGATCAGTAGCTCCTTTGGGGTTGTGTCTACTGGAAAAGAGGCCCTGCGTTCTAGGTACTTTCTATCATATGACAGAATGACAAGAAATCTTACTTCCCTGGGTTTCTGTCTTCTTTACCTATCTGTAAACATGAGAGAGCATAAGATTACCCACCAAATAGGATCATTCTGGAAATTAAATGGGAAGATGAAAGGACATGTAGCAAGTGCTCGGTAAGTTGTAGCTGTGGTGATTGTAAGCACATTACTCATTCTCAAATATGGTATGGCCATCCGCACTCATATATACATGTAGAAAACAACGCCTAAACTACATTTTTAAAAGGGCTTTAATTGTTAGTGCAGAATACAGTATAAACACCTGCCAAAAAGATTTAAGGTTTTCTTTGCAGAAAGTACCTCTACATTTAAACATGCAATCACTCACTTGGTGTTTGGTTTGCTCCGTAGACATTTATAGAACACTTAAATATGCCAGATAGTATGTTAGGTACGTGTGGTTCGATCGGGCAAGACCCGCTGCTTTCTTTGGTTGAAAGAACAACTTCCGTTACATGCTGTGCTGAAAAGTGTCAAGAGACAATGGTCAAATTGGGGGAACTGTGGACCCATATCCTTGGTATTCCTGGTTTTCTGGTGTCACTCAGAGGCAGATGTACATGGCCATTCAGTGTCCTTGCACATTGCACTTAAGTGACACTCTAATCAACGTCAGTAATTTTCTCAGAATATCTTCTACTCTGCTTTGACTTGGCTAACACCAGTGTCAATTCAGACCAGAGGTGGCTCATTCTCTCCAGAACCAAATGATCCACACTGGCTTAGCACCCTTTGCATCAGGGATTGTAATTCACCCTCCTGACAGCCACTGTCTGTGGATTCCCTTACACATAGCAAAGATGGAAAAGCCGTGGGAGCTCAGAGATAAGGACTTCTGTATCAGCCAGAGCAGTGCCTCTGGAATGGGGAGCCCAAGGGGCAGCAGTCTGTCAGCCAGAAGGACCCTGTTCCACCTGATAGCATCCATCCTGACCACTCCTCAAGTGCGTGTGCTCTGTCCTGCAGGCTTTTGTCATTGCCATCACCTCTGACTTCATCCCCCGTCTCGTGTACCAGTATGCCTATAGTCACAACGGGACCCTGCACGGCTTTGTCAACCACACCCTCTCCTTTTTCAACGTCAGCCAGCTGAAGGAGGGAACGCAACCAGAAAACTCACAGTTTGACCAGGAAGTTCAGTTCTGCAGGTAAAGAACTCGGGAGGAGGAGGGCAGCAGATGACCGGATGTGGTAGATCCAACTAATTATCTGGAAGATCTAGATTGATATCACTCTCCTCTCCATCTTTCTCCTGCCCTGAACCTTCCGAATAACTATAAATCAATTTCAGTGCATCAATACATGTTTATTGAGTGCCTTTTGCTAGACACTATGGAGCAAAGAAGTATATAGCCTTGTCCTTACCATGAAGAGGTTTATGGGCTGGTTGGAAGAAATAAACAGAGCGGATAAGACATAGCTGGCTATTCAGGGATTATATCTAATGTGGAACATGAGCACTGTGGGTGTTCAGAAGAGAGAAAGATTGGTGGGGGCTAGAATGGGAAGGGTAGGCTTCCTGGAGGGCCTGAGGAGTCTTAAGACAGAAAGAGTATGCTAGGTGGGGAGTCGGCATGGGCTAAGTCATGGGGTGGGGATGAATTTGGGGTGTTAGATGAACACTTAGGGGCTAGGTGATGTAATTAGCAAGGAGAGTGCTTAGAAGATCACAGTAAGGAATAATATAGGAAATACAATATATCAAAACTCCTAGGATAGTATAAGCCAAAGCATTGTTGAATTTGAATAGGTAGATGAAGTAGGTAATGGGAAGTCTTGAAATACTGCAGGCATTGTAACATGATGTAATAGGAAGTTACCTTTTTAGAGCCAGGAATGATAGATAAAGTGTATGCGTAGGAGAATTAATCTAGTCTCAGAGAGAAGGATGGACTAGAATTGGGATAACTCCAGGAGGGTGGCTGAGTTGCTGCTGTCACCAGCCATGAACCTTGGTGAACATAGACCAGAGTGGTGGAAGGGGAAGTGAGAAGATGAGCTGTTTACTAGAATACCTGACAGCATTGGTGACAAGGGACAGAAGAGGGAGCCCAAGGCAAAGATACCTCCCAAGATTGGGCTGAAGTCAGAGGACCGGGCATGGTGGGTCCATTGACAGGGATGGGGAAGATGCTAAGAGAATCCAATTTTATGGTAAATATGATGAATTTTATTCCAATCACATCAATTAAAATAATGGTAGGGAGAATGATGTATCCCGGGTAGACGGGCTACTCGGTGCTCGGTGGTGGGACCTCGAGTAGAGGATAGGCTCTGAGAGGTGAGGTGGGAAGAAAAAACAGAAGCCAGACCGTGAAGAATGTGGTGGGCATATGGAGGTGTGTGGACTTCATCTTAGGGCAGTGGGGAGCCACAGGGAGCAGGGATGAGATCCTACTTCTCATTAGTGTTCTCTCTGGCTGCAGTGTGAAGAGCAGTGGGTTACATGTGCAATAAAGAGATGCTCTACTCTACGGTGTAAGCAGGTGTCCAGAGAGTGGTGTCAGCATATTATCTAGATACAGCATATCACATAGGTGTACTTTAGGGCTACCTTTCCTAGATGGGTAATAATTGTTGATGGGAATCTCTGCCTCGGTATGCTCTACTCACTGCACGCTATGTGAACTTGTCTGGCCCAGGAGTTTGGGAGTGGTGGCTTAACCTGCTGATGTCTTTGTAAGCCAGGAGTCGTCAGTGGCTGTACAAAATAGAAATGAAGGAGAGTTGGGGGGGGGCAGGATGGGGAGGAAGAGAGGGAGGGAGAGAGGATGAGAGACAAGGAGAGAAGGAGAGAGAGATTGTGAGAAACAGAGAGAGCTCTAGAGCTAGCCCCAAAGCCAATGTTTAAAACTGCTTCCATGGTGGGAAATGAAAAGTTTGCCCTGGTTTTCTGGCAAATAGTGTTGGGAACTCTATGACCCTTCTTATTCTTAGCTTTCAGTGACCTCTGGAGATAAATGTGGTCAAATAAAACTGAGGTCTCGGGCTCCAGCCCAGCCTTGCCAGGGATAGAGGTATCTTAAAAATAGCAATAAAAGTTAGGACAAGTCTCCAGCTGCCCATTTGAGATGCATTCCCAGCATTTTTGGAGCAACATTTTCTTCAGGCCTCTAGCTGCTCCAGCAGGGGGCTGCTCCAGAAACAGTCCGGCGACGTCAGGCAGCAGGCATGATTAGTGGCTACCGACAGGGTTGAAGGGCTACCATGTCCTGTACGGTGGGTGGTGGCTCAGGCTTCTGGCTCCACTGGAAGGGAGCAGAGGGTCAGTATGGGAGAGAGCCTGGCTGGGGATCTGGGTCCGGGAGCTTGGGGAGCCTACTTGGGCATGGCCAACCCAATGGGTCTGCTTAGAGGTGCTGAACATCCAGAAACAGCATCCTTGGTGGCCCCTGCTAGGTTTCTTTGCAGGGCCCGAGTTCTTTCATATCCCAAAGTCATGTGAAAAGTCTTTGAAGAGGCAAGTTCTCTTCAGTACATGGCTGCCTCTCATCTGTTCCTCACTGAAACCAGAGGGAGACTCAGCTTTTCCGGGTGTTTCCTTTCCTGATCTTTATCAACCACTGGATTAACGTGGTTCTCATTAGTTCGTAATTGCCTGTACTGTTTTCCCTTGTCAAAGGCCAGTTTCGGAAGGCAGTTTGAAGTAGCTCAGATGGTATGAAAATATTGTATGTAATTGTGTTTAGCATTAATATGACATTAATTTCCATCGGGACTATTAAAACAATTAACATACCGTGGTTGGAGTTGAGAGATGTATTTACTAATTGATTCATAGTGTAACTAAAACCTCATTTTTGGAAAAAGCCATTCCTGAGTGTTGATGTCTAACTCCTCTGTCTGTTACTTCGGTATGTCCTCTTCCTGCCCACGGTGATTTTGTATTACGATGAATTGTGGCAGGTGTCATGGTCACTGGTCACTCCTGCAAGTGAGGATGGTGGGGGGACATCTGAGCCAGGAGTCTCTCTTCCTTCTCCACATCTCAGTTTCCCCATCTATAAAAATGGGAACTTGGAATTAATAATCTCCGAAGATTCCTTTCTGTTTCTAAAAAATTAGTATTTCATGATACATGTAATATATTAATCTGTTCTATAGAGTCTATAAAAACTCTAAACATTACAAGCAACCTCTCTAACTCTGTCCTACCTCCACCCTAACCTCTGCCCAGTCCTGGGCACTTTTCCAACAGTAATCTCAGTCACACCTTTGTGTGAGTCTTTCTCAGACATTTCTCCATGCATCATCATCAAGTGAACTCATAGAACCTTTAGGGTATTTCATGGCTTTGTTTTATAATAGTGAAATACATTTTGAATTCATGGGAACCTTCTTTCTTTAGGTAGTGTATAAATACAACTCAATGTGATTTTTCATAGTGTTAGAACAATCTCGATATAATCTTAAAGTAACTTAAAGCTAAGATATAATGATTTTTGTACCAGTTTCACTTACTGTGTGTGAGTCTGTCTCAATTAACACTATAATTTAGGTCCTGAAAGCTTAGTATAAAAGTGCACGGAACAGAATATCACCGTTAATTATATTCTTTTGAAATTATGAACTTTTTTGCTATCATAGAAGTAATTCTGTATACATAGGTATATACACAAAAGGAAAAGACTTTCTCCTTAGCCCCTACCCCAGTCATTGTCAGGAAACCATCCTGTTTATTCTCTGTGGAAGCCTCCAGAAATCACATTCACATGCATTGTCTTACTTAATTTTCACTGTGCTTTCCTTTAACATTTAATGTACGCGCACACGTGTTCATTTATTTGTGGCTGGTGGGAGAGAGCTGGAGCACTTCTCTGTACTCAGCACATTTCACTAGCCCCATTTAACAGATCAGAATGCTGAGGTTCAGAGGTAGGAAATATGTTTCATGGGGTCTTACAGTTAGTAAGTGACAGAGCCACTCCCAGGGCACACTAACTCATTAGACACTGTAGTTGTTTGTAATTACAAGCCTCTCATTATTATGAGACTCCAGGGAACTCTCAAAATCAATGTTAAGGCTCAGAATAAGGAGAGCCTTGGAGGGGTGAGGGTGAGAAAGGAATGGCTCCTAAAATCATACTTCCGAGCTTAAGTCCCAGCCAGCAGGTGCAGGAGGTGACCCGCTATGGAGGTCACCCAGTGCTTGGCCACTCACAGGGACTTTGGGAGACGTACTCCCTCAACCAGGGTGAAGTATCTCGTTTGGGAAGGCCTTTGAGCTGATGGGAACAGAGCAGAAGTTCTACTTCCCACAGGCCTGAGGCTTACCTATTTTGTGCCATTTCCCTGGACAGAGATCCTGAGAGAAGCCCCTTGCAGATGTGGCAGTGGCTGACTTTCTCATTCATATCAGCACGATGGGAAACTTGGAGCATCTGCGCCCGAGTGCTCAGAAATCCCCCTGGAATGCCAGGGGGAGCTGGGAAGAGGGGCACATGTGCTCTGTCCTCTTAAAGAAAGAGGCGTATTCCATAATGTGCCTTCAGTCGAGGGAGAAAGAATAGCTAGTGTGTATTGGGCATGTACCTGATAGGCCAGGTGCTGTCGGGTGCTCTTCATTGACCTTTCCTCCTCATTACATGCCACCTGGGAGCTGGAACATTGAGGCTACTTCATAGACCAGCACCATGGCCATCAGCACATCGGGTAACTTTTTAGAGGACATAGAACTAAAGTGGTAGAGAAGACATCAAGCCCTCACCTGTGACTCCAAAGCCCATGCCTTTGCCAGTGCCGTGCCCTGGGCTTAGAAGCCAAACAGACCTAGCAGACAACCGTCACTGCTGCGGACGCAATTAAGTCCATTTTTTTGTGGCCATTTCTAGTCTTAATTATCTCCTTGTTTAATTAGCGTCTTCTTGTTGCTCAGGGAAAACATTTGATAAGCTTGACTTCTTAGGATGCCACTTTAAACAATTATGAAATCTGAACTTCTATTGGAATGTAAACAATTACCTGGTGGCAGAGGCTTACCGAAATCATATTTTTCAAACTATGAGTCATTGTTCATTAGCAGATTATGAAATCATCTTAGCAGATCATGGTCAGCATTTGAAAGACTAGAATAGGATAAGATAGGGTAGGATAGAATCAGAAAATATCAGTGCACACAGCCAGGGTAAGTATGTTTTGTGTAATTTTTATTTCCTTGACATGTACTTATGTGTGCATTAATGTAAAATTAATGTAATGTATTTCTTAGTAATGTAGGTCACAGTTTTTTTTTTTAAAGTTAGCTTTGGAAAGGGAAACGTGAACAGATGCAGAACTCATTAAATTGTGTCTTGTTCTTGTCTGTGGGTAGTTTGTCCTGTCATTCCCAACAGGGCTCCCTCTAGCCCATTGGCGTAGGGGTATTTCCAAGTAAAGCTTTCTGGAAATATCTGTGTTAGTCTTTCCTCAGATCTTTGATTAAATGGATGTGCTTGTTAGCTTTTAAAAATGTCTTGGACACTCGAGGAGGGCAAAGTGACATTTCCAAAAGCTGTGGCGAGTGAGGAGCAGAAGTGGGACCAGAATTAGATTATTTATGGACTCTTTTTAGACTGGGAAAAAGAGAGTGAGCAGTGGCCCCTACACCAAGGCCAGTGAGCAGCTGTCCCTTCCTAGATGGAGCTAGAGAACAAGACAAACAGACTTTGATTGTAGCAGGAGGGATGGGCTGGACCTGGGGAGGGATGTGCCTGTGGTACAAAATGGGCATATGTCCCGCCTCCCGAGGTCTTGGGAAGAGTAGAGAAATCCCCTTTTGCCGTGAGATCCTTTGGTGGGGGGAGCAGCAGGAGGGCGGGCGAGCCGGGGTTTTTCCCACTCCAAAGTGTCCCTGTCCTTTAAGCCATGCTCTCCCTGTCTCCCGTCAGCAAGCATAATCTGGGGTTGGCCGTGCTTCTGTCCTCAGCCATGGATTGATATGCTGAATCCTGTGCTGTTTTGCTGGGCTGCAGTTAGCTTTGCTTTTCATCCGGATGGCAAAGTGAGCCTGCAACAGCTGTGATCAGCTGTTGGAAGTGGGGGTGGGGAAGGGGCAGCTTCTGGCCTCCTGCCCAACCCTAGTTGACTGCTTAGTATCAGCCTCTGTCTCTCTTGCTGACTCTGCCGCTGTACGTTTTTCTTTCTGGGGTGTGTGTGTGTGTGTGTGTGTGTGTGTGTGTGTGTCTCTTTTCCTCTTCTTCCTTTTTTCCTTCTCTTCTTCTTGCATCTCTCCTTGGACAGTGGGAAGCCACCGTGCTTTTTCCTGGATCTTTTAGGGCAGCTGGCTCGTTCAGGGCAGGGAAGGGACAGAAAGCACCCATTTCTGAATCCCCCGCCTCAAACTGCAGCTGTTGGTGAGGTGCTTTGTGACAATAGAGAAAAGGCCTGCCTTCAGCCAGACTTGGGGTCTCACCTTGACTCTGCTTCTTGCTGGCCATGAGAGAGACCTTGGCAAGTAATTGGCTTTCCCTGAGCCTCAGTTTCCTCCTGTGTCATGTGGATATCAGTGCCTGCCCAAGGATGTTGTGGTGGAGATCCAATGGGGAAAACTTCCAGTAAAGCTCCTTGCTCAGGGATTGGCACATTCTGCATGTTCCTTTGTGGCCCCTCCTCGGGCAGAGTCCCCTGCCCGCCCCTGCCTTCCTTGGCAGCCATGCACCCACTTGGTGGCCTCATGCCACTCTACTCCTTCCCCCAGCCCGCGGCTTGTTTTGCTTTTACTCAACGTCAAAGATCTATTGAATTCCAGGGAGAAAACAGTTCCACGAAGGGTTATAATTCTTCTGGTACCAGCTCTTGTCACTTTTCCAGGCTTAGAAAAAAGTGAGTCTGAAAAAATGAGCCATTTTTAACATGAGTCATCACAGAATGGGGGTGAAAAGGCAGCGGTGAGGAAAAGCCCTAGATGGTTCCACGGGTCTGAGAAAGAGGCACAAGTTTACATCACGCACTGACATTGTGTTTCTTTTCTTTCCTTTCCTTTCTTTTTCTTTTCTTTTCCTTTTTTTTTGAGAGAGAGAGAGAAAGCATGTGCGTGCACACGCATTGGGGGGATGGGGGGGAGAGAATCTCAAGCAGGCTCCCTGCCTAGCTCAGAACCCAATGCCAGGTTCTGTCTCACAGCTGACCATGAGATCATGACCTGAGCTGAAATCAAGAGTTGGATGCTTAACTGACTGAGCCACTAAGGCGCTCCTGACATTTTGTTTCTTTAGCCACATGGACAGATCATAAATATGGTCAGTAGAAGAAGATACGGACCAATAGCAACTATTACTGCCACCCCCCAAATTCGCTCAGCCTTGAGCTTGGTCTGAGTCAGCCTTCCTTGGGGTGCAAGAATGCAGCTACCAAGCAAGGCCAGCCCCTCTATGGCTGTGGTCCTGAAACAGCTAGCCAGAAAGGAAGCCTAGGATTGTCCACAGGTGCTTGTGTTCTCCCTGAGCCCCTGGACTGCAGAGAACTGTCCAAGGTTTCTGGGCATCTCCCCTCCCTTCTCAAGCTCATGGAGCCAACATGGATCCACTGCCTTGGGCTCCTCTGGAAGAAGAATCCAGACACCAGAGGAAGCTGTGGGGGGTGTTGGAGAGAGTGTTGGAAAAAGACATATCAAGGCCAAGACTGGTTGTTTTGGACTTTGATACTTTTATTCCATGGACACTTGTTGGTTTATTCCACAGTTGGTCAGTATTCTCTTCTACTGACCATGTTATGATCTGTCCACATGGCTTAAGTTCCACAGACATTTGTTCCTCCCTGCTTCCTGCTACTTCCCAAATTGGGGAGGCAGGGGCTTGCCTGCTGCTCTCATCCTTGAGGTTCCCCCCTGGAGAAGCACCCCCTTCCCTCTACCTCGTCCCAATCTTAACACCACCTTTCTCTCTGGGCAGGTTTAAGGATTACCGAGAACCGCCGTGGGCCCCGAACCCGTATGAGTTTTCCAAACAGTACTGGTCCATTCTGTCTGCCCGTCTGGCTTTTGTCATAATCTTCCAGGTGAGTTGTTCAGATAAAGAGTAGCCAGTTAGAATCCAGGCTGCAGGGGTAAAGACCACATGGCTCTTCACCGGCTCCTCATCTGCAGGTTTTAATGGCGCTGTGACCTAGGGGTGTCTGCATGTGGCAGGCAGAAGTGAGTGCCTCCCCAGAGGAGGCAGGAAGCACTCTTGAGAGGGCTTCCATTCATGGATGGATTTGCAGCAAGAGAATAGAACACAGAGTAAGGTTACAAGACAGATGTGGAGTAAGTTGCAGGGTGGAGATAGCGTCCCGTTCAGACGTAAGACAAGACAGGAAGTAAGAAGAGCAGTGGAAACCAGAATCTCATCCCCGATGCAGACAAACAGTCCCGCCTGGTCTCCGCAGCCCAAGAAAGGGCTCAAGTTCTGAATCATTCTTCTAGCTCTCGGCTGGCTCCCTCCTTTGTTAGAGTGCCTCAGCCCCTGAGACATCTGGCGGAGAGGGCCCCAGAGCCATCCGGCCATGCCTCGGTGAATAGCAAACTCGAGCCCCGTGATTGCTATCTCTGACAATGGCCACAGCTCCGGTTGCACGGCAGAGATCCGCCAAGTGCATGGCCCCAGCTCCCGCTTGGGGTCCTGCCGGCCTTCAAGATCCTTTTCTCTTCCACTCCCTCAGGCTTTTGTATTCCCTGAAGGCAGATCTCTGGAGGGCTGTAAGATATCTGGCTTTGCCCCTGGCCCAGGAAGTGGAGAAGCCCCTCGGCTAGTCTTTCACCTAAAGAAGATAGCCATTCTTCCTCTGGGGAGATGGAGCGGTCTGTGAGAAAAACCACTCCGATGCCCCCCTGCAGGTGTCCCCTGGCTTTCCCACAGCTCACCTGTAACATTTGTTGGCACTGTGAAAGTTGGCTTAAGAGAAGAGTGTGACTCGAAGCAGCTTGAGAGCATGAATGCACCCAGGAGCCTCTGGAAACAGCAGCTGGTCCCGGGGCCCTCCTCTGGGCCCCTGGGTGCAAGCGAGGTTCAAGGTCAAGGGGGGACTAGGTTTGGAGCCTGGAAGACAGCCATACCCTTATGATCTTGTGCCCAGATCTCAGAGCAAGCATGTGATTGGCAGGCAGAGAAGGCCACCACTGGAGCAGCATACTGGGCAGAGCATGGCCTGGGGAACTGGGTGGGGATCGGGCCATGCTGGCACTGTTGTGATATATTTACCGCTTCAGTGGAAAATGCTGCAGGGTAAGGTAGTCCTGTCTTACCTGCGTTTCCAAGGGAAGGGATGGGGCTCCACAGGTGGAAGAAGGAAGCCAATTACAAGTGTGCACAGAAGCTTAGAAAGGAGAAGGGGAAGCTAGGGGCAGGGACCCTAGCTGGGCCAGTGTGACTGGCTTAGCAGGAAGAGAGAGCAGGATGAGTGTGAGGTTTGCTGAAACCAGAATTCAGCACAGAAACCAAAGGACTGGCTCTGATATGGAGGACAGAAGGCAAGCAGGAAGCAGGAGAGGAGCCGCTGGCCCAGCAGAAGCCCTGGAGAGGCCAGCAGGCTCTGCGCCCACTTCCTAGAAGGCTCTGGAGCAGGGGACCTGGAGGCTGAGAAGCCAGGCGGGAAGAACCAGAGGGGAAAAAGCAATAGGTGACACTTCTCAAGCTCCACTGCGTGCAAGGTATTGACTTACTTAATCCTTGCAACAACTCTGAGAGGCAGGTGCTGTTACTGTTCCACTTTCTCCACGGGGACCCTGCGGGACAGACACTTCTGCTCATTGGTTAAGACCACCTGCCAGTAAGCAGAAGAGCCAGAGGAACACGGAGGTATCCTGCCCCTGGATCTGTGCTCTCCACCACTGCCACCATGGCATCACACTGCCAGCCCCGCTGCTGAGACCCTCACTCTCACCCACTGGGCTGGGCCTCTCTTCGCAACCCTTCTCCTTTCTTTTTGGCAGAACCTCGTGATGTTCCTGAGTGTCCTCGTGGATTGGATGATCCCAGATATCCCCACGGATATCAGCGACCAGATCAAGAAAGAAAAGGGCCTGTTGGTGGACTTCTTCCTGAAGGAGGAGCACGAGAAACTCAAGCTGACGGACGAGCCAGCCCCAAGGAGCCTGGGAGGGGGGCGTCGGAGCAGGAGCCAGGCGGCCAGCTCGGCACCCTCGGGCCGAAGCCGGCCAGGCAGCATCACGTCTTCTGCCTCACAGCACACCAATGTGTGAGCGAGTCGACCCCACCGCGGGGGCTGCCACAGTGGCAAGGGACCTCACGGAGCATGCCTGTGCACCTGCATGGGAGGGCTGGCTGGTGTCTGCCAGGGCCCGGCCTCAGGGGGTCTTTGCAAAGGTGCATTTGTGCAAAGAGAGAGGGGTTAGAGCGAGCGAGCGAGCAAGCACAAGCAGGAAGAGAACTGGAGCTGCTTCTCAGAAACTTCAAGCTTAAGTTCCTTTTAGGTCCTCTTTGATCCTTTTGGGGGATCGGCACCCCATTTTGAGTCACCCGGTGCAAGAACTGGGTATCTCTACCCCAGAGCTCCCAGGCGCCATGCACCTTCCTTGCGTTTCCTCAGGTGTCCCCTCTCACGCGGTCACAGTCTGTGAGAGGAGCAAGCCCCCCCTCCTGAGCGGTCCCTCTCCCCTTCCCACCAGCTCCCCAAGCAGACCCCTCTGAGTCGCTTGCAGCTGGGACTGTCACAGCCTCAGTGGGTACAAATTAAGTCATAGGGCTGATGGCTGTGGCCACAGGACTTGATGGTGAGTGGCAGAGGTCCCAACCTGAGCTTGTCTCCATGTCATGGGGATGCTTTGAGCTTGTGCAACTAACCATCACTTTATGCAGGTTCAGATTTAAAGTAATAAAATAAATCAAAACATTCTTTATAAAGATGCATCTCCTTGTCCGTGGCTCTCTCTCTTTCTGTCACTTCATACCAATATTTATTGAGGACCAACTGCTTCCCAGATGGTCTCTGAGATGAGAGATGAGCAGAGTAGAAGAGATAAAATGTCTGACTCATGGAGCTCACTTTCTGGGGAGAGACAGGATTTTGGCTAGTAATAAGGGCTCTGGAGAAATACAAGGGATAGAGGAGGCAGGAAATGTTAAAGCAGGAGACGTAAGGGGCTTACCATTTTATATACAAATCAATGACAGACCCGAGATGGTTCTGAGGTTACATCTTTCCTCCCAGAGCTGGGGGGCCAGATTTTCAAGTATAGTTGGAAGCAAAGGCCAAACACCATTCATCACCGTCCTTTGCACACTTCAGCCCCACACACTGTCCAGAAACCTGTTGCACAGTCCTCTTCCTCGGGACCCGGCCCCAGTTCCTCCCAGGTCATTCTCAGTGTCTGCATAGAAGCTTTGAGGAGGGCCACACTCCAGAGAAGACATGAGTGTTCTCATGTTTCAGCACACCTGGTAATTCGAGGGCCTGGGGTGCCGGGCTGGTCATCCTTGCCGCTCCCCATGGCTTCTGTGTCCTCCTGGCCACGTGCAGGATCGCACTGCCCTGCCAACTCTTGCTCTGGAAAGTAGCTCCTTCTTTCATGGGGACTCCAGGGCATAGATACAGCTTTAGAAGGAGCAGCAGACAATCCTGTCCCACGCCGCTCACATACCAGTAGTCCTACAATAAATTTTAACCACTTCACGCTTTAATGTTCAAACTTACCATGTTAGCCTAGATTCAAACTACAGTATTACCAAAACACTGCCTCATCTTACAACAGGCTTCAGCTAAGTCAGCGGGGAGGGAAGTGGCCAATAAGAGAAAAATTTCACTTCAGGAGCACTAATGACAGAGATTCCAGGCCCATAAAAAGGAGGAGGATGTCCCCGGGACTCCTATGGGTGTGGGTGGGGTTGGTATTTCCTGCAAGCAGTGATGGTCCATTCTGATGGTCAGGGGCCACCTCCAGCACCAAGACACCCACATTGCACGGACTGTGGCTGGCTCAGGACCCCACCTCTTTTCCTTTTTTCAAGTACACACTTTTGTATGATCAGAGAGGTGGAACTTGCACACCAAGAGTCAGATGATCTAAAAAACAAGGGGCACCTGGGTGGCTCAATAGGTTAAGCATCCAACTCTTGATTTTGGCTCAGGTGATGATCCCAGGATTGTGGGATCAAGCCTTGAATTGGGCTCCACACTGGGCATAGAGCCTGCTTAGGATTCTCTCTCACTCTCTCTCTCTGTCTCTCTCTCTCTCTGTCTCTCTTTCTCGTTCTCTCTCTCCCCCTGCTTCTCTGCCATGCACACCCTCTCTCCCCTGTTCTCAAACACACACACACACACACACACACACACACACAAAAACCAGAAGAAAGTGAAATCACCCACAGTCCTCAAATTTGTAATCAACATCAACAATTGCTGTGTTTCCTTCCAGACTGTCATTCCCTCTCAAGTGCATCTGTATTTTTGGTTGCAAATATGCAGTGTATGCTATCTTGCTTTCTTCTTCTGCTTCATGTAGCTTATCATTCCTTTTATCCCATAAGTTTGTTGTCAATTTTTTTAATGTTTATTTTTGAGAAAGAGAGAGTGAGTGGAGGAGGGGCAGAGAGAGAGAGAGGGAGACAGAATCCTAAGCAGGCTCCAGGCTCCTAACTGTAAGCACGAGCCCGATGTGGGGCTCAAACTCGTGGACCTTGAGATCATGACCTGAGCTGAAGTCGGACACTCGATTGACTGAGTCACCCAGGCGCCCCTCAGTTGTCTTGAATGTTATTCAAAAGTACGTACCGAACAACTACCATGTACTAGGCTCCATATTGGGCACTTGGGATACATCACTCAACACAATGATTCCTGCCTTCTTGTAGGTGAGTCAGGATGACACAATAAACAATGAAAATAAGCTGTATAGTGTCTTAGGGGGTAATAAGTGCTATGGAGAAAAAAAGTCAAGCAAGGTAGAGGGGATTGGTAGCAGGGGTAGAGGCTCCATTTTAATTTCCGTTGCATAATGGGCGTTTTTGTTTTGTTTCCTGCCCCACCCCTTCCTGTTAAGGGATTGCAGATTGGGTGTGGAAGCCTGTGGTGGCCAAAGCCCACACTCTAGTGATTAGGCCAGACAGCACCTCCCAGGGAGATCTAGATGGAGAGGAAGGGAGATTCCATCTGCCCAGATATACATTTCCACCCTGAAAGGACTCCACTTTCTCCCTCTCTCTCACTACAAATGAATTAGGAATTTTGTGATTTGCCCCCATCCCCAGGCTAAAATCATCTCAGCACCTGCCTTACCAGCATGACCACCAGAAGTGCCTGCCCAACAGGGCAGCAACTGGGATGTAGGCTAAGAACTTCCCAAAGGATTTGTTAGTCTGGGTAGAGAGATGGTAGGTGCATCCTACTTTATTTATTTTTAATGTTTATTACTTATTTTGAGAGCGAGAGAGAGAAAGAGGTAGAGTGAGAGCATGCAAGCAGGGAAGCAACAGAGAGAGGGAGAGAGAATCCCAAGTAAGCTCCACACTCAACACAGAGCCCAACTTGGAACTCAATCCCATGAACCATGAGATCATGACCTGAGCCAAAATCAAGAGTCAGACCCAGACCCTTAACCAGCTGAGCCACCCAGTCATCCCCAGTCCTAATTTAAAACAACAATTAAACCTACCCTCTGCTTTTTTATTTATTTTTTTAAACATTTATTCATTTCTGACAGTGAGACAGAGCACAAGTGGGGGAGGGGCAGAGAGAGAGAGGGAGACACAGAATCAGAAGCAGGCTCCAGGCTCTGAGCTGTCAGCACAGAGCCTGACTCGGGGCTTGAACTCATGTGAGATTATGACATAAGATGAAGTTGGATGCTTAACCCACTGAGCCAAACAGCACCCCCCACCCTCTGCTCTTTAAGGAAATTGTAAACTTTGACATTTCACTGTAAAATACAAAAGAAAATTAATTATGAGCAAACATCTGTAACACTGAAGAAATGAAAAAAATATCACTCCTTTTCCTACACCTTTTCTCTAGAAATAATAACAGTTAATGTCTGAGTTTACTTTGACTTCATTTGTGGTCTCATGGTATATGTGTGGTCACTTACATTGATCTGGAATAGCATCTATTTTGTTTAGTCATAAAAGTAACATATACTCATTGAAGACTTAGAAAATGCAAAAAAATGTAAAATGTAAATAAAATAGTTTAAATAATCTGAATTTTTAACTCCAAGAGAAACAGCCATGAGCTCTAGATGGAGGTCATGGCGGCAAACAGTATTTACCATTGGGTTCATCAGTTTTTTCCTTACTAAGAATAAAAAGAAATGGAATCCCCTTGATGGCTGATTTACCGATATAATCTTTTTAAAAAAATGTTTATTTTGAGACAGAGAGAGATAGCGAACAGGGGAGGGGCAGAGAGAGAGAGAGAGGGAGGGAGAGAGAGAATCCCAAGCAGGCTCCACACTGTCAGCATGGAGACCGACGCTGGGCTTAATCTCACAACTGTGACATCATGACTGGAGCTGAAATCAAGAGTTAGATGCTTAACTGAGTGAGCC